GCAAAGCGATGGGAGCCGGGCATGGTGGCACACACCTGCAATCCCAGCTACCTGGGAGGTTGGGGCAGAAAGATCTTCAGTTTGTTGAGTAGCCTGAGCTGCTCAGCAAGAGCCTGTCTCTAAAGAAAATGTCCAAGTGTAGCTCAGTGGCAGAGCACTTTCCTAGCATGCACGAAAACCTGAGTTCAATCCCCAAAATTGCAAAATTAAGTGAATAAATGTAAGTGCATGGGAGAATGTCAAGACGGAGTGGCTCCTTTCAGGCCCCTGCAGGAAGAGAGCTCAAAGTGGGGTTGACAGAGAGCAGAGGGGAGCAGGAGGACCAGCTGGGCTTTAGGTGGAGTCTGGTCACAGTCTTTGAAGCATTTGAAGCAAGAGAGTGAGATGAGGTTTGTTCTGTGTAAAGATGACATTGAATACGGCGAAATGGGCTTGAGAAGTATTCGGGAGACAGCACTTGGGTCTTAGTGACAAACTGGGTACAGAGGACAGAAAGGGCAGCTGCTCACGGCTCTCAGGCACCTCCTTCTTAGGGTTTGCAGATTCTGGCTAAGCAGGTCCCTCCCAGCCACTGCCAGAAACTGTCACACCCCACACACATGCCTGATGAAGCCAGCAGCCCAGGGACGCGTCAGGACACCTGGAACAGGATGTGGCAGGCACCAAGTGTTAACAGCTTCACTGACGGCCTCAATCTGCGAGCAGGTTCCTCCTGGCCTCACCCACGGAGCAGAACCAAGGGGCCTCCAACTGCAGGGCTTCCAGCCAGGGAGTATGGGAGCAGAGGCCCAGCAGGCTGGGGCAGGAGTGGCAGGAAAAGGAGCCACGGGGAGCCACCCTAGCCTTCACTCTACCCTGCTCAAAACCTCAGGTAGCCAGTGACCCACTCCACCTCCAACAGGAATCGCTGGTCACGGGAACTCAGGCGGGTTGGAGAGGTGGAGAGATGTCTCCGCTGTAGGCCAAACCGGAAGCTTCCTGGGCCTTTGTTCTGGACACCATTTCCCCAGGGCCACATGGTAAAGACACCCTATCTGCCTAGAGCGGCCACTTGACTCAAACAATTCGAGCGAGGTAATTTCAATACAACATTTTGAAACGAGTTGAAATGAATTTTCAATAAACAAAGATTTGAGGCCCCACTGGGAGTTTGAGTTGACTAGATTGAGCAAAGCCCTTGGGGAAATGTGGTTTGGCCCCTGTGAGAGTTAAACTTGATTCTAAACTTGACTGGATTAAAAGAGCCCTAGATTGGTGACTAGACTGTGAACCTTGTCCCTGGGGTAACCGACTGGTAGGTTGAATGAGTGATTAGGAAGTAGGACCCACTTGGAGGAAGTAGGTCATGGCTGTGACTTGGGGACTGCATCTGGTCCCTTCCCTCCGCTTCTCTGGCTCTTCCCCTAGTCTCTGCTTCCTGGCTGCCATGAGGTGAGCAGCTTTCCTCCACCATGCCCTTCTGCCATGATGCCTCTGCCTTGGAGCCAGTTGACCATGGACTGAACCCTGAGGAACCATGAGCCAAAATAAATCTCTCCTCCTTTATGGTACAAGTGTCAGGTACTTTGTCCCAGCCATGGGTAAGCTGACCAATACAGGCCCCTTTGGGTGCCACTTTGGTGGAAAGGCTGGAAAAAGGTCCCTGAGTTCTTCACCTACTACCCTACTCCATAGGATGCCTCTGCACACAGGAGTTGCTGCCTGTGGAAGGAGCTGCCAACCATACAAGAGTCACCTAGACGAGCTATCCTTGGGGCACTGGCCCCTGGAGATGGCTACTGGCTGACAGTGATCTCTCTGGGCTCTGGCCCCTGGCCCCCAGCAAGTTCTTCCTGGCATCTCTCTCTCTTTGGTTGTAGCACAGCCCATTCCCCTCTGCTCCCACTCCCACTGCATTAGCCATCCCTGCTGTACGTTGGTCAACAGGACAGGAAAGAAGGGAGACAGCCAGACCTTGACCAGACCCAACTGTTTTGGCTCTGGTTTTGCCAGCTGTGCCCAAATCTGCTGCCTTTGCCCCTTGGTCAAGGAACACTAGGGAGGCTCGGGGTTATTACAGAGAAACAAGGACCGGGGATGGGATATGTGCGGGCTGGAGAGGGCAGGGGGCAAGGGCGGCAGCCCACTGTGGTCTGGCTGAGGAAATGTGGCTGGAAGGAGAGGGATGGAGGAAACATGGAAATTCATGGACTGTCATGGGTCCTGGTGTGAAGACAGGGCTGGCGGGCAGACTGGGCCCTGGGCTCGGCTGCAGTGGGTCAATCACCTCTGCAGAGGTACTAGTGTCCCTTGGCTACAGTGGGCTTGAGACAGAAGAGCCCTGAAGCTAGTCCTTCAGGATCCCCCATCTGAGGGGGACAGGGCCCAGTCCTTGGGGAGCTTCAGACTGGGGGTGGGGGTCCCCTCAGCCCTGCAAGGCTTTTGCCTCATTCGGCCCAGATACATCTGTGGTTTCACTCTGGATTCCTGTACACAGAGCCGGGGAATCCCAGAAGCTGAAACACTTTGAATCACTTCCTTCATTGTCCTGCGCCTAGTGCCTCAGCCCTAGGAAAATCACAGCTCCGGAGTGGCCGCAATGAAAACTGAAAGGGAGAGTGACAGGGAGTGGAGGCTACTGACACAGCCAGGCTGCGACTCGGTCCTTGAGGAAGCAGCTCTTGACTGCCCCCTGCAGCCATTGAAAATGTCACCAGAGGCAGGGGGTGGCACCGGCGGGGGGGTGTCGCCACCCTGGGGAGTCACCCGGGTCCTGCACGGCAATGAGAGTCCAGAAGGACAGGGTGGGAGCTGTTTGTGTCTGGACCTCTGGGCACCACCATATCTGACTTGGCTCGAGCAGGTCCCACCTGGACACCTCCTTCCCCCAGCCCGGCTGTCATGAGCCCTCGGTCCGAGCTCTCTGGGCCCTGGCTGCCACTGCCTCACTTGGGACATTTATGGCTTCTGTCTTTTGCTCTGGGCTGGACCCTGAAGCTTCCAAACATGTTGCCTGCAGGACAGTGGAGCCGGCCCTAACCAAAGAGAAGGGGGACAGGAAGCAGGGAGCGGGGGAAGGAAGGAAGGAAGCAGTAGAACTAGGACCAAACCTTCCGGTTTTCTGCACAGAAGGCAGAGGGTGGCACTTTGAAGTGCTGGGGACATTCCACCGCGTCTTTTCCTGGGGTGTGAGAGGGGCTTTCTGCACACTGAGGAGCCCCAGAAGGCCCCCAGAAGCCAGACCCCAGGAGGGAAGCTGCTGCCCGTGCCCTGCAGCCATCCAGGAGCAGAGCCCAGCTCCCAGAGGGGTGCATGTTGCCTTCCGTGGCCTGACCTCCACCCTCATCCCTGGCCCCGGGCTCTGGGCCAGGCTGAAGCGCAGAGAGACACACTGTTCTGCACCTCTGCAGTGGGCGGGACGGCCAGGGTGGCTGTGACCAGCTCCACCCTGGGCACAGATTATGGCCAAGGAGCCTGGCCAGCGCTGGCAGCTTCTGCAGCCCAGAGAAAGCCACACTTTGCAAACACTGAGCCACCTGGATCACCATCCCGGGATTGGGTGAGCATCCAGGGCACTGCAGCTCTGCCCACCATGGGCATGGGGTGTCTGGCTGCCCTTCTACCAGGACAGCTCCTGGGTTCCCTCCAGCCTGGGGTCCTGGTGGAGGTACCCCCGAGAGGTCCTGCTCAGCCTTTCCTTCTGCCCGCATCTATGGCAACACTGTTTGGACATGAGCGTGAAAATTATTATCCAGGTCACTCTCCTTGGTGCTTTGCTGATACTTTGTCACTTAACCTCCTTATAACCCAGTGAGGTGCTACGACTAGTGTCCCTGCTCTACAGGATGAAGACACTGGGGTCCCAGAAGGGCAGCAACTTGCCCAGGGGCCACAGCCAGCACGAGCTGTAGCCAGGACAGCCCCTGTCCACATCCTCACTCAGTGTCACTGCCCTGCCCAACACCCAGCTGCTGCCACACCCTACAGCCTTCCAGGTCCCCCCCAGGAGAAGGGATCCCAGACACTGGGTGCAGGAGACAGACCCTCTGCATAAGTGACACGGTGGTGGCAGGGGCTGAGTGATGGGACCCTCTGCTTGGCCAAAACAGAAGTGTGGACTTGCCTGGCTCACCTGGCAGGGAGGGAGAGGGTGGGGACCAGCCCCAGGCCACAAGGAAGCACTTGCTGGGTGTGAGCCCTGGGCCAGGCACTTGCAAGATGATGACATTCAGCCCAGGGCAGAGCCAGCCAGGTGTGTGAACAGCTGTTTTAGGGCTGGTGCCCTGTGGGGGCAGCCTCTAGTGGAGGTGACCAGGGATTCACCCTTATGTCCTTCCTGCCCACCACTACCCTAGAGACCAAAATGAAGACACAAACAACCCCTACTGAGCTTCCAAGAGGGTAGGAAGGGCTAACTTGCAAGGGAAGACAGAGTTCGATGGCCACCTGTCCCATAGGCTGGGTTGGTGTCCTCCATGTTCCTCGAGCAGCCTTTAGGGACATACTTCACTCCAGGCCTGGGAGCCCACACAGACAATGGCGGGGGGAGGCTCACAGCCCTGGATGCAATATGGGAGGTGGAGAGGAACCGCAGGAGTCAGAGCCGGAGTCAGAGGCCGCCAGCCCCAGGTGAAAAGCATTAATCTGGAAGGGTCCAGAAGGGTGAATCTCGCCTGGGCTTGGGGGGCAAATAGGAATGACGGCTTCTTGCCTGGGGAACCACAGGATCAGGGTGAAAATCAGGTGAGAGAATGAAGGGGCCAGTATATTGTACCCTGAAGGAGGGAGCAAAAGAATTCTATTTTCACAGTGAGGAAACTGAGGCCCAGAGAGGAGATGTGACTTGTCCAAGGGCAGTAAGTGAGGGTGAAAGTGAACACAGGACTCCAGCCGGCCCTGGTTCCACCTCAAGATTCTGGCCCCGCTACACCGACTTCCCTATGTGCTGGGCAGCTTTCTGTTACTGTAACAAAATACCAGAGATAAACATCTGAAAGTGAGGAAAGGTTTATTGGACTCACGGTTTTGGAGGTTTCAGTCCATAGCCGCCTGGCCCTATTCCTTTCGGGCCTGTGGCAAGGCAGGACATCATGGAGGGAACACAGGGCAGAGAAGCTGCTCACCTCACGGTGGCTGGGAAATAAAGACAAAGAGAGTAAGGGGCTGGGGTCCTGGGGTCCTCTTCAAGGGCACAATCTTCAGCCCACTAGGCCCCCCCTCTTACAGGCTCCACCACTTTCCAATAGCATCGTGGGCTGGGGACCAAGTCTGTAACACACAGGCCTTGGAGGTACATTTAAGACCCAAAGCATAGCACCAGAGAGTGGATTCCATAGCTAAGACTGCTTTTCTAGGGTCTTGTTTATGATGTTAATACAGGTTGGGGGTCCTTTACGCTGTAGTATAAAGTAGTGATCTACATGCTTGGCAAAGACACAGCAACAAAAAGGACTTGAGGGGAATGTAAGAGGGGAGAGGCCAGGATGAGATGGGACAATTGGGGAACATGTACATCATGGGCCCAGGAGAGGCCTCAAAGAACCTAGGCAATGGGGGGTGAAAAAGATTATTTAGAGTCAGAAAGAGAGGTGCTTGTGACAAACAAAAACCTAGCAGATTATCTGAAGGCTGTGTCCAGACCCTTCTCCTTGGGGTGAGGGGTTGAGCCTAGGGTTGGACTGCAGAGACCTGACCCCCGGGTCCCCTCTGATACCCCAGGACCACTGAGAGCTGCCCTGGGAGGACACGGAGCCCAGCTCATTTTCCCTTCCTTGTGCAGAAGGGAAGAGGAAAAGAAACATGAACCGGAGACAGTCACTGCGCTCCCTGGGCCTCCCTGGGCCTCCCTGTCCCTCCTGGAAAGGCCGGCAGAAGCCTGCTGCCAACAGGGGGCTTGTTTATTAGAAGCTGAAGCTGCCAGGAAGCATCTTGTCCATCATCTGAAAGCACATTGTCTGAAACCTCATCCACAGTCTAAATGAACTCTGAGGACTGTACAGTTTCGTTTTGTTTTTTATTTCTTTTCCTTGATCTCTTGCTGACTTCATCCACTCCACCCTCCATCCACCTGCCATGGAAACGAACTTGGAGAAAACAAACAAAGCGTATGGAAGGACATTTCCAGCACACATCATTCCACTCCCTGCGTGAGCCAGCGGTCCCCGACACATCTGCGTGCTTCCGCCGTGGGTTCTGTCCTTGGGTTCTGTCCGTGAGCCTCTGCAGACCCAGAATGCCCGGCGCATGTGCAGAGCCCTCCTGAGGCTCCCTCCTCCTCAGGCAGGGACCTCTCCTTCCTAATCCCTCCAGCTGCCACAGAAAGCCCAGGTGCCAGGTCATTTGCATGTATTGATCCTTCAGGCTGATTTACAGGAATTGCCCTAGACACTAACCAAACCCCAATTCTGTAAGGACAGCTGGTCTACCTCCACCACACCCACTGAGCCCTGCCAGCCTGGGCCCTAGCTGGGAACCTGGGGGTTCTCTGCATACCCTGGTCTTCTAGCCTGGTCCATCTCCCCAGGACCTCGGCCAGCTTCCTGCTCACATGTGCTGCAGCCGCAGAGCTGGGGTCCTGAGGGTGAGCAGTCTGTGGGACCCAGTCCATGTGGGCAGCTCAGTCACCTGCCACCAAGCTTGCCTGGTGGCACTTGTGCCTGCAGACGCCGTGGTCCAGAATCTTCCCATGTGCAGACTGAGGACATCGATAGGAAGTCGCTGCCTGTTACTCAGCGCTACACACAGCATGGCATCTTCACACTATCTGATCTCCACAGACCCAACCAGGATATTCCTGGGTCCCACTTTACAGATAAGGAAACAGGCTCTGGCATGTAGGCTAATTCGCCTAAGGACACCTGGCAGAACAGGCGAAAGCCATGGACTTCTAGCTCCTCTCCACCACCTCCAATATGCCCAGTGAAGAAACAGGTTTACACATCAGTAGGGTAGGAACTGTGGCCCACCCTGACAGCCCATGTTCCTGTACTGTCCTGACATCATCTCCACTAAGAGCAAAAGAGCTGGTCTTTGAAGCGCCCTGCGCAGCCCTATCTCGGCAGAGAGCATGTGTCCCATGAGCCATTTAGACCTGGAAACGGCCCTTTCACTTCCAGGAATGGCTCATTGCCTCCTTCGAGGGTGCCTCGGGAACACAGTTTGGGAACACCGGGCAGAGTTGGCATACACAGGCACTGGCCTCGCCAGGCATCGTCATGGGGATCTGTGCCCCTTGCAGTGGTTTACTGGAGATTTCTCCAGCATCCAGAACATGTTTAGGGCTGAGCTTCAAATAAAGGTCGGACTCAGGTGTAGGTACCAGGCCCGTGTCTGGCTCTCTCCGTGGTCCAGATGCTCCTGTCCCCTCCCTGCCCCAGGTCTGGGTGCTGTGATGAGGTGAACAGGGATATTTCCCCGGGCGAGGAGTGAGACTGAGAAAGCAAGTAGGTGGAAACAGGGCTGGCAGAGGGCATGAGACCATGGAGTAGATCCCAGCTCTCTGCCAGCCCATCAAAGACTGGCCAGGGGAGGAGCCCAGGGCTGGGCAGGACCAGGGGCAGAGGCCCCACTGTGCTCTGCCACGGCCCGACCACCGAAGGAGTATCGGGAGGTCTGCAAGGCTCATCCTTGGGTCTCCCACATTCTTCCCTTCAACAGGTGCAACTGAGCACCCCAAGGGCCTGGGGAGGTGGCCAGAAAGCATCAGGCCCAGGCTCTGGCCCTGTTTCCAGCCCTGCAGTTTCCCCGTGCCTGTGCCTCAGCATCCACGCCAGGCGAGGTCGACTTGCCCACGGGGCACACGCCCTGGTGCAGAGTCAAGGGGCTCTCAGAGGGCTGGGAAGAGTTTGCAAGAAGCTGCTGCTGCAGGAGAATAAGATAACAGGAGGAAGAGAGGGGCTGTGCCTCAGGCATGAAAAAGGGAAACTGAGTCAGCACGCCCAAGCGTGGGGCATTTGCACACAGCGGTGTGTAGGAAGCAGGTAACAGTGAGGAGGAGTCATGCAGTCCTGAGCTGGGCAGCTGGGCGTCGGGCCAGCAGGGAAAATTTCTGCTTCCTTGAAGACTAGGGAGTGTAGATGAGCAAATTGGACTGGAAGAACCAGGCTGGCAAGGGGAAGCCAGGGCACTGAGAACCCGTAGGTACAGGGCAAGGCCACACCTCACTGTGGTCAGTTATCCCTGGCCAGGAGCCACCTGCAAACTGCATTTGCATAACAGGAAGTGGTGGTGACATCTGGATAGCTCTTTACATAATGTCCCCAGGGCTCCCCCTTCTCATCTGAGTCCCCTGCCCGGGGCCTCAGAGTTCCATTTTTCAGAAATGTTTTGTTTGGTTTGGTTTGGTACCAGGGATCGAACTTGGGTCCTTGGGCCTGCGAGGCAGGTGGTGGCACCACTGAGCTAAACCCGGGGCCCATTTTTTCAGAAATGTATTATCAGGCCAGATGTAAAGGTGCACGCCTATAATCCCAGCTACTTGGGAGGCTGAGGCAGGAGGATTGAAACTTCAAGCCCAACCTGGGCAACTTCATGAGACCCTGTCTCAAAAAAAAGCATTATTAATATAAGGAAGCAGTCCTTAGGATACGGCTCAGGAGGGGTCACTGGGGACCCAGGGCAGCATTCTGATGGGGCAGAGGGCCCCAGGAGGGGATGAGCTAAGTCTCCCCCATCGCCTGGCTGACCTCCTTCCCCACAGGTGCAAAGCACCCTCCCCTCCCCATGCAGGAGCTGGTTTCCCACTTGTAACCCACAGGAGCCTCTCCTCCCTTCCAGCAGACTCGGGAGGAGAGCGGCATGCAAAACCATGGCCAGCAGCAGTGCATGGGCGTGTATGCCTCACTCCCAGCAGCTTGGGAAGCTGAGGCAGGAAGATCACTTGAAGTCATGAGTTTGAAATCACCCTAGGCAACGTAGTAAGACTTGTGTTAAAAACAGACAGATTAACCAAAACGAAAGAAATATGGCTGGGTCTGAGCTTCCCCTCCACCTGGGCCTGCTTTGAGAAGAAAGCACAGTGCCCGCCATGGGAAGGTGGGTGGGCTGGTTCTACTCCAACCCTGCGTGGACTTTCTCTCTTTGGCTCTCAGTCCTCACTCTGGTTCAGTGCAGTGATGGAGTAAATCAGCTCCTATAGCCAAAAGTCTTTTGAAACCCAGAGGCTCTGAAGGCCTGCTGACCCAGGGGCCTTCAGTTAAAGGGAACGATGGGGTCTATTTCCAACTCATTTTCTTAAAATTTGTTTTGTTTTGTTTTGTTTTTGGTACTGGGGATCAAACTCAGTCCTTGCACTTTTGAGGCAGGCGCCAGAACCACTGAGCTAAATCCCCGGCCCTTCTTAAAATTTTAATACATCACCAGGCGTGGTGGTGCAGGCCTGTAGTCCCAGCATTTGGGAGGCTGAGGCAGGAAGATTGCTGTGAGTTCAAGGCCAGCCTGGAATACATAGTGAGTTCAAGGCCAGCCTGAACTATATAGCAAGACCCTGTCTCAAAAAAAATTTTTTTTAATTCATCAAGTAGGGTTTTTTTTGCAACAAATGCCTTTCTAACCAGGACTCAAAAACTAGGATACAAGCTTGATAAATTCATCTCCAATTTTTGAAATTTCTACATAGTAAAAATTGTCATGAAAAAAAAACAAAGAACAAATAACAGAAAATAGCTTGGCATGGTGCTGCACACCTGTAATCCTAGCATCTGGGAGGCTGAGGCCGGAGGATCACCATGAGTTCAAGACCAGCTTGGGCTACATGGTGAGTTCAAGGCTAGCCTGAACTACGTAGCAAGACCCTGTCTCAAAACAAAACAAAAACAAATAACAGAAAATATTTGTGACTAACATCATAAAGATACAGCTACTTTCTTTAATACAGAAGCAGCACTAACAAATCAATAAGAAAAGGACCTACACTCCTCAATGGAAGAAAAGAGAAAAGGATATGAATAGAAAATTCACAGAAAAAATTCAAATAACTTTTTCCCCCATGCTGGGGATCAAACCCAGCCCATGGGAGGGAAGTGCTTTAGTGCTGAGCTACAGCTGAACCCCTCAAATGACTCTTGAACATTTGAAAACATACTCAACCTCACCTGCAGTAACAGAGCTGCATACTTTAGCTAGCACTGACCTACCATTTCCACCTATCAGATTGGCAAACACCAAGCATCTGTCAGTTCACTGAGCTGGCAAAGATCCATGGAGACATGGCTCAGGTCTTTCTGCTGAGGTCATAAGTTGGAACAAACTTTCTGCAAAACAATTTGGCAACAGCGAAAGAAATAATAAATGCACATCCACTCTGACCCAGCAATTGCACTTTGCTCTTGTGGGGTTTTTTATTGTTGTTTTTTTAAAAACACCTAATTATATTAGCCATTCAAAAGTGAATTAAAGGGTTGGGGATTTAGCTCAGTGGTTCTGCTGCCTGCTTCGCAAGCATAAGGTCCTGAGTTCAATCCCCAATACAAAAAAAATAAATAAATAAAAGATTTAACTAATAAAATGTTCAACGACCTTAAAGAAAAAATTAACAATAAACTAATTAAATTAAATAAGATAGTAAAGATATGAATGATATATACAAGTTTGTTAAAAAAAATGAGAAATTATGAAAAGTGACCAAGCTGAAATACAAAATATGAAAAATTCAATAAAACCATGGCTAGTAGATTTGACCAATATGAGGACAAAGTGTCAGAAATTAAAGAAATGGATGTAGTGATCATAAATTCAGTAATACTCTAAAAATGACAAGACATCATGCAAACTGGATCCAACAGCTGCTAGATGACTCATTTAAAAAAATTTGAATTACAGAAAAAAAGGAAATTTAGACAATGACTCAAAAGGTATAAAAAGTTTATCCACTGAAATCATAGCAAAAAATTTTCCAAATCTAAGGAAAAAATTTGATATTCAAGTACACAAGACATATGAACCCTAAACAGCGATAATCAGAAAGGAATTTGTGACACATCATATTCAAAATTCCAGAAATTCAAAGAAAGGAGAGTCTACTAAAAGCTGTTAGAGAAAAGAAGGAAGTTACTTAGAAAGCCAACTCCATCAGAATTACAGTAGTTTTCTCAGCACAAACCTTAAAAGCCAAGAGAACTTGGAGTAAAGCTTTTCAAGCCCTACAAGAAAGCAATGGTCAACTCAGAATTTTATATACTACAAAATTAGCCTTCAAAATTTATGGGGTAATAAAGACTTTTCATGACAAAGAAATATTAAAAAAAAAAAAAAACATGACGACTAAACTAGCATTACAGGAAATACCCAAGGGGATCCTAGACAGAGGTAACACCAAAGATCCCAAATAAAAGTATACATCTAACTGGGAGAGTAAGTAAACAAAAAGAAAAGAAAAAAGGAATCAGCACTGGACAAATAATGCAAGGACAAGATTCAGTAAATACCTTACAATAATAACTCTCAGTCTCAGTGGTCTCAACTTCCCAATCAGAAGGCACAGGCTGGCAGATTGGATCAAAAAACAAAACACAACCTTATATTGCCTCCAGGAGACCCACCTCATCCAAAAAGAAGTTCATAGACTAAAGGTGAAAGGATGGAAAACAATATCTTATGCAACCAGAGCCCCAAAGCAAGCAGGAGTTGCGTGACTTGTTTTCAAACACAGTAGACTTCAAGCCAAAAATGGTCAGAAGAGAGAAAGATGGCCGCTCCATACTTCTAATGGGAACAATTCAACAGGAAGAGATAACAATTATAAATGTCTATGCACTGAATATTGGTGTATCCAACTTCATAAAACAAAAGCTGCTGGACACAAAAGAACAAAGAGACACCAATAAAATCATTGTGGGGAACATTAACACACACTCTCACAATTAGGTCAATCAGACAAAACATTATCAAAGAAATATCAGAGTAAAACCACACCATTGAACAGACAGACTCAAAAGATATCTACAAAGTGTTTCATCCAACAAAAACAGAATACACATTATATCTTGGGCTGTAAAGTATGCCTAATAAATACAGAAGAATTGAGATAATTCCCTCTATATTACCAGACCATAGAGGAATGAAGTTTGAATTCAACAGCAAAAGAAACCACGGAAATTATACAAACACGTGGAGATTAAACAATTTATTACTGACTAATCAATGGATTAGAGAAGTCAGCAAAGAAATTAAAAAGTTCATACAATCAAATGACAATGGAAGCATGACATTCCAAACCCTATGGAACACAACAACAGCAGTTCTACGAAGTAAGTTTCTAGCTATGAATGCATACATTAAAATAATTGAGCAATACCAAATAAATAACCTAATGATAAAGAAGATGTAGGGTTTATTATTAAATAGAATACTACTCTGCCACAAAGAAGGATGAGCTTCAGACATTTATAGCTAAATGGATGCACCTTAAGACCATACTCTTTAATGAGTCAAAAAATTTATTTCAAAATGTAAATGTCATTAAACATGCATACATGTTAAAACAATAAAAAAATTTTTTTAAAAATAAAATTTACAATTTCATTAATTTTTTTTCTTTTTGCATAGGACATCATTACAATATAGAATCTATGCCTTACAAAATACAAAGTTTTCTTTCAGCAAGCCAAGGCCAGATTGGAAACTGTACAACTGTAATAATTCAGTACAGTGAATCAGGAAAGATGAAATGTGACCTTTAAAGCATTGGGGAGCTGGTTAAAAAGAAAAGAAAGACATTCCTACAGCAAAGGAAAATGTGAACTTGATGGAAATGGTCTTGGATCCTTGGATTCTGCCTTGAGATTTTGGCAAAGATTGCCAGAGAAGCTCCACCAATGGTTTTAGGTGGGAAGGGGTTGCCTGGGTGTAACCAACACAACCACAGCTGCAAACCCCCAGAGCTGTGCAAGCCCTGAACCCGACTACGCGGTCACCCAGCAGAGCCCAACGCTGACACCGATGCACTTCCCAGCACTGGGCACCTGCAGCCTCTCCAGGTGAGGCCGGAAACAGTCTCCCGTTCAGAGAGGCAGGCAGGAACAGCCCCGGGCTCATGACACCCCTTGGTGTCTGAGCCACACTGGAAAGTGGCCCCTTCTCCTTGGGGTGTCTGGCAACCCCTGGGGAAGAATCATCTGAGAAAGGCTGTGGGCTCTGGGATGGACCACCTGACCCATGGTGGCCTCCCAGGAGACATTCGGCTTGCACTAGGCTTCCAAATGTGCATGCACAGTAGCCTGTCGACAGATGCCCTAGGAAGACATCAGGAGGACCAGGGCCCTGAAGCCCCAAGGAGCTGCACAAGACCATACTCTTAAGTGAAATAAATCGAACACCCATGTTTAAATATCACACTGTTTCTCTGCTGTGAGAAAACCAAAGTGGAAGTAAGGCTTAAAATATGCAATAGACATTGAGAAATGGGAAGAAAATGTTCAAATGGGAAAGGGGAACAAAGGAGGAGGGAGGGAGCAAGGAAGGAAGGGACACGAAAAAAAGTGAGAAGAGAAGGGAAAAATGGAGGGGCTGGGGATTTAGCTCAGTGCCTGCCTGGCAAGTGAGAGGTCCTGAGTTCGATCCCCAGTACCAAAGGAAAAAAAAAAAAGGAAACAAAGCTCTTGTATAGAGGGAGGAGAGGGGAGTCAAGAGGGGAGAAGAAAAGAAGAGACAGGATATATCATGTACAAGTGCGATTTCCCTATGATGGATGCTATCATTCTGTATGTCCCAATTAGGCCAATAAATGTTTTGCTTCCAAAAAATGGTGCTGGGAAAACTGGGTATCCACATGCAGAAGATTGAATCTAGACCCACTTCTCTCACCCTGCACTAACCTAAAATAAAAATTGATCAAAGTCCTACATATTAAAACAGAAATACTGACGTGCTGGAAGAAAAATGAGGTAAAACCCTTGCAGATCCAGGTGTCAGAGGGACTTTCTGAACAGAGCCCAGTAGCACAAGAAATAACACCAAGAGTCAACAAATAGGATTATATCATCAAATTAAAAGCTTCTATAGCCGGGGATTTAGCTCAGTGGTGCCACTGCCTGCCTCCCAAGCGCAAAGTCCCGAGTTCGATCCCCAGTACCACCGCAAAAAAAAAAAAAAAAAAAAAGCCCTAAAAAGCTTCTGCAGAGTAAAGAGACAACTTGAGAATGGGAAAAGGTTTTGTCAGCTAGTCCTCAGACAGAGGAGAAATATCCAAAATATATGAAGAGCTAAAAAAAAAATAGACTCCTCAAAATAAAAGACTCAACCAAAAAAATGGGCAATTGAATGGACACCTCAGAAGAAGTAGAAATGGCCAATAAATACATTTTTAAATGTTCGGCTGGGCGTGGTGGTGCATGCCCAACACTGAAGAAGCTGAGGCAGGAGGATCACTTCGAGTTAGAGGCCAGCTTGAGCTACATAGTGAGCTCAAGAACAGCTGGGCTACGTATCAAGATCCTGTCTCCCAAAAAAAGGAGAAAGTAGACCATTTGTGAATGGGAAAGGAATCTGGGGACAGAGAGGGTGGGAGAAGGGAAAGGAAAGGACTAAGACGCAGTTTGCATATGCACCAACTCCACAGATGAATGGATTCGTTATGGATTGGAAAATGTACTAATGGAAAATGGAGGGGAAACTGAAAAAAAGGAAGAGAGAGGGAAAGAGAGAGAAAGAAAGAAAGAAAGAAAGAAAGAAAGAAAGAAAGAAAGAAAGAAAGAAAGAAAGAAAGAAAAGGAAAAAAGTCTAGCCGAGTGCTGCACAGGTGGGATTTCTATCCAATATCCTCTCCACCCTGGATTTGAACCAGTTTCTTTGGAGACAGGAGAGCTTTTAGCCCTATGTTGAAGCTGCTAGTTCCTTTTTGTTCTTTGTTGTTGTTGTTGGGGTTTTTTGTTTTGGGGTTTTTTTTGCAGTACCAGGGATCGAACTCAGGACCTTGTGCTTGTGAGGCTGCCCTGGCACCACTGAGCTAAATCCCGGGCCTCCTTTTTGTTCTTATTATTACACTGCCATGCTATTGGAAGTGGGAAAACACTTGGTTTAAAACAAAGGAATAAGCCATTTCCCAGACTCTTTCAGAGCGTGGTCCTGATTAAGCAGATAGATGTCCTTTGGCCCTACTTCCCATACTCCTTTCCTCTTCAAGCTTGGATGTGCTGACTGGAACTCTAGCTGCCACTTTGGACCATGAGGCAACCCTAGAGTAAAGGGGTGGGGAGGTGCAAGGCTAAGGAGGTGCGGGATTCAGAGACTTACTGGCCTTTGAATCATATGAATACTTTACCTTTACAAAAATTAAATAAAAATAGAACAGTAGGCTTCAGCTACAGAGGAGATCTTTCAGCTTCACATGCATTTATCCCATAGGTATCTATCCAGGGCTGCCTACTAAGCACTGCAAAGTGTGCCAAGGGCTAGAAGCCCTAAGAAAAAAGACCTTCCACAGCGTCGTGTACAAGGCAGTGTGTGGCCTGGAGGTGAACCAGCATCCACAAACTCAGTCCTCAGTGCGGAAAGGGGCCTAGCAGGGCGGCTGCAGCAGATACAGGGTCTGGAATGCTTCCTGAGGAGGTGGCCCTTGCCTCTGCCATGAGGCATGAGTACCAGGGAACCAGAGGAGACAAAGGGAGCTGCAGGGATGCAGTATTGCAAAGGCATGGAGGAGTGACCCAGCCTGACCAGGAGGAAGCCACGGGGGCACCGCCAAGAGGGGCAGTGTAAGACCAGAACCCATTCAGCCTACACTGCAAGGGTGTTCGGAGCAGCGTTATTCACGGCAGCCAAGAGGTGGGAGTGACCCAGTGTCCCAACCGATGAAGGGAGAAAGGGGCCTGGTGTGTGCATGCAACGGCGTATCATCCAAAGCAAGGCATTCTGAGTCATCCCCAGAAGACGAACCTTGAAAACATTGTGCTAAGCGAATGAACCCAGACAGGAAATGACAAACACCGAATGATTCCACCCAGAGCAAACATCCAGGATCCTCAAGTCACAGAAACAGAAAGTAGATGAGAGGTTACCAGGGAGAATACGGGTTATTGCTTAACACATGCAGTGTTAAGTGTTTTGTTCGAGATGATGCAAAATTGTGGTGCTTGCACAAGGTAGTTACCGGTCCCCGGCTGTGCACGTATAAAGCTTTAACGTGGCGGATGTTATGGCTCCCACAGTTTGCTACCATAAAAAGCAGTTGGTAAAAAAATGTGTTTCAGGAGAGGGAGACAGCAAAGGCCCGGTCAAGTCAGGAGGGCTTTGTGAGGAAGGTTAGGTTGGGAAAGGTGTAGGCTTCCGAGGAGAAAGAAGATAGGCCCAGTGGTTAGGGCAGAAGGGTCAGGCAGCTGCTCCTGGGCCAGGTGGAGAGCAGGGGAGGGGAGTGAGAATCGGAGCTGGTGGGGGAAAGGTGTTCGTGAGGTAAAATCCCACAGGAGAAGCCGTACACTCAAGTGAGCATCATTAGCTCAAGGTGAGCACTTTCTGGATGCAGACACTGAGGCTACGCTCCTGGAAAAGCTTTGCT